AGGTCAGTCTTTTTGCCGGTTCCCCTGCCGGCCGGAGGGCCGCTACCAAGGCTTGGGTCTGGAGGCTAACTTTCTGTTGCAGCCGCGCCTGCCGGGCTGCTTCAGCCGTCTCCTCCCGGGCGTTAAAAACTTTAAAAGCCATTTTTAGCAGGTCTCGGATGGGAGTCTCAGGGCCCTCTTCAGCCTTTTTTAGTTTTTTCCTGATATCTGGGGCAGACTGAGAGATAAAATGGGAGGCTAGGATTGTGGCCCCGTTGCGGGACCCTGGGTCTAGGCGGGTGTAGCGAACCAGGGCCTCCTGCAGGCGGTTGAGAAAAAGGGCCGGGTTCTCTTCGGGGAGCTGGGTAATTTCTCTCAATTTGTCATAGTTAACTATTTTATTGGAGACTGCGTCCATACCCCGAAGGAGGTATTGGAGCATGAGGTTCCGGCGCGGAATATTAGATCCAGGGCCGGCCTGATAGTTCCATGCAGGATCGTCCTGGGGAACTGCTTCATTGCCGAGGGGGACTGTATTGTCTATTAGGTGGTCTCTATCTGCCTGCTGCCTGGCGGCAGAGAGGATACGCTCATGTTCCTCAGGGGTGAGAGTGGAGGTGCAGATTACTTTGATGTCATGCCATGTCAGGTCATAAGTCTGGGACAGGTATCGGAACTCTCTGATGTAGGTTGAGGGGTCAGCTGAGAAGGATCCTAACCTCTTTTCAATCTGAGAGAGGTCCTGGAGGGAGAAGGGGACATGCACCCGCACCAGTCCTTCTGCCCCAGCCACCTCGCGGAGAGGGGCCAGGACAGCAGGCGGGGGTTGGGGAGTGCGAGATCGGGTATGGGCTGCTATGGGAGAGTCGAGGGGGTCAGCGGGAGGTGGGGCAGCCGGAGCCGGGTCAGGACCAGGGGGGTCTTCTCTGAGGAGGGTTGGGGGAGGCGATAGGTGATCAGGGAGGTCATCAGGCAGAGAGTAAGGAGGGGGATCTATAGGAGGTGCCTTTGGAGGAGGGGAAGTCTGGGCTAGGAGAATCTGGAGAGTAGAGCAGTGTGAGCAAAGGTCAGGGCGGGAGCGGAGGTCCCAAAAAGCCTGAATGTATGGGATCTCAGAGTCCTTTCTGGTCCGCCGGCAAAAATTGGCCAGGTCCCGGAGGACATTAAAGTCGAAAGTACCTGTAGGTGGCCAGTGAGACTGGTTGTCTAGGGTGTATTGAGGCCAAGCGACCTGAGACAAGAAGATGAGTTTCTTCTTGTGGAGGGTCTGAGAGTATCCCAATTTGGAGAAATTTATAAGAAGACATCCCAAAGGAGTCTTAGGGTCTATTTTGGATTCGGAGTTTCCCATAATTTAGTGGCCTTCCGGAACCCTAAGTGTCGGAGGAGAAAGGGTATGAGGGAGGCGTCCCTTCCAGATACCCGTCTCCGGATAGAGATAGAGGGGTGACTGAAAGGCGTCCCTTTCAATCAGTCCCCCTATATAGACTCCAGGAGTCGTGAGGGGAGGGCTCTCGGCTTGGCCAAGTCTAGGACGAGAGACCCCGGCGGGGACACAGGGGTCCGGCAGGAAGGGAAAGGGATCGAATTACTTACGGTTGCAAGCCGTATCTGCAGGGAGCTCCAAATTCAAAGCGGTGGAGGGCGGCACGAGGCAGGGAGAGAGAGAGGGGGGACTCTCGCCTCAGCCTGCAGGGACTGAGGCGGGTCGCAAAACCCCTCTCCCGGGTTTCGGCACCAGATGTAAGGTAGCCAGGTGCCGCCGGTGGGAGGTGGGAAGAAACCAGAGAGCCAAACAGCCGAATAAGCAGAAATCAGGCTTTATTGGGTACACTCCGGGCGGGTTCACAGACTCGGGGGGTTGAGTCCGAGAAGCCGCGCCCGTTGCTGGGGTTTGTGATTTTTATATCTGCGCCTGTGGCAGAGGGAACTTGTTGTTAGGTTAGGTCCTGAGGGGCTACGCATGGGGGCCCCTGGAATGTGAGTCTATTGTCCCGGAGCGAACAGTTCCTGGACTAGGACAGGAGAATGGGACAGGAGTTGATCTATGAGTTTGGGGCAAACAGTTCCTGAAACAGGGAGGGAGTTTAGGTTGGGTAAGCGAGGTAACGGCTGAGCAGTTTGCCTGGTGCCAGTTCCCAGGCTCTCGGACAGTCAGCATAGATGCCATCTCAAGGAAATAATTACCTGAATCAACATGTAACCTGGAGAACCACTTGGCAAATAAATTGGGCTGCATCCAGAGATCTGGAGCATTTGCTCCCTTGCTATGCTCCCCCTCACTCCTATCAGTGTGTGGTTCATTGCTTTGCGCCAACCTCTGGCAGGTCAAGAGAGATGGCAGTCCCCACTGGTTTTTACAGCCAGATGTAATGGGGACTCTTCTTCTGGGCATTGGTGCTCTAGGCTGGGGAGCCAGGTGTGTGGCTGGTACCCCTAGTTCCTCAGGGAGTAGTTCCTTCAGTGGAGAGATATCCCTCCCTAATTTTAATCAGCACACCTGAGCCTGTTCTGTGTCTCTGCCCCTCCTTCCAGTCTTGATGTGACTTCTTTACATCCTTAGCTACAGGACTCTGTTCAGAGGTTCTTCAGGTGGTTCTCAATGATGGTTGTTATATAATTTAATTGTAATTTTGATGAGGTCATGGGAGAAGGGAACACAGCGTTTACCTACTTCTCCTCCTTGACTGGAAGTCAGTCCATTTTTAAATCTGTATTTAATGATTCTTAGGATGATGAAGTGATTTACAGCAGTGTTTTACAGGAAATATTAGGAACATTTATTGTGTCAAGATGAAATTACAGCTTTTCTCTTTTATTAGTGCAAAATTTAATTATCCAAAGACTTCTGATGAAAATTCATATATAGGGTAGGGCAAAAGTAGGTTTACAGTTTTGAGTATGCTAAACAAGAGTTATCCTTGTATTATGATTTATTAATTATTATATTATTTTTCATACAAACAACTGTAATCCCACTTTAGCCCTACCCTGTACTTACACGTTAGTATTTAACTTTAACACCATTTGAATTTCTGTAACATTTAAATCACAACAGGGGGCTAAAACATATATAAATATAAAAATATATTTCTACTGAATTCATTAAAAGGTTACACCTGTCTCTGTACTCTGTGTGTGTGAATACATACGCTATATACATGCACCCTGTATATGGGTACCGTTTGTTTATATATGTGTGTGTGTGTGTGTGTATGCATGAGCATACTCTGTTGCAACAGCACAAGATTAACTTAAGTAACAAAGATGTTTGTTGTCCCCTTTAATTTATAATATGATATTTATTGTGTTTGCTTAGAGGTGTTTATTCATAGAAATTTTTTTCTCTCTAGTAAGATATCTTTCCAGATAGAGTCTGGATATTGTGGTTATATCTTAGTTATGTTGGTTTTACACTGTCATGTAAAAATTACGACAAAGCCTTTGCAGCATATAACTAAACGTGTTCAGCCAGGAGTCAAGGATTCAGCTGATCCCTGCTAGACTTGCTTTTGCACCTGATCCAGAGCTGGTTAGCTAGGCATTCTGATGGTTTTGGGGTGATGTTGGCTTATCTAAAGTGACCCCAGCTGAGACCACTAGAGTGCCCTGCCTCTGGTCCATATTTTACTTACCCTCCTGCTAGAGGCAGATGGCTAGCCTAGCTGACGACAATCATTAAGGTTTGGCCATGGCTGAAGGCAAAGTAGAGCAAGGCCAACAGTTCAAGTGCTTTTCATTTCTCTGCATTGCATTTACTGTCATCTCTTTGGCCTATGCAAATCACATAGCCAAGCACAAATGAGAATGGCAGGGTATTGCAAGGTAAATGGCAAAGGATGAGGATATGTGGGGAATTGAACTGAAGTTAGGAGATTGTCACAGTGGGAATGCAATGTAGAAATGAACAACCTGAATAGAGGTACTTGAGTCAGAATAAATCTTAGATTTAGTCTCTGCTTTTGATTTATTTTGATAGTTAAATTTTGTGTAACTTTACCCTTCTGTCTGTACTTTTGTGAAACTAGCTTTCAGCCAGGGGAGTTACCCCTTCTCTACAGTACATTTTAACCTTATTCTGATTGTTTTGCCTACTTTTTCAGTTCAACTCACTTGAAATGGTTTTCTTGTTTGGCAAAGTACTAATTGGAACTGTGTCTACCATTAAACCTGGTGTCACATTTAGGATTATTATCAGCAAATTCCTGGTATTTAGTCTATGCAATTGATGTATATATCATGCAAGGACAGTGTATATAAAGGGAACAAAAGCAAGAAAATACTTGAAAGGTTAATTTCACCATCTCTGCAATATCATTTCATAGTATGTTATAAAATATAATATGTCACAATACATTCATAAAAATGACCGTCTTGTCTTTGTTGACTTTGACTTAACTGAAGTATTACCATTTAAAATTAGTTTTGAATTATGTTTTATACCAGTCTAGAACATTTTGCTGTGATATATAGATAATTTTTCTCTTTAGTTGTCAGAATTCGCGTGAATTTTATGTATATAGCATAGAAAATATTGAGATAAGGATTGATTTTATAAATAATATTTATCTTAAAATACAAGGAGGCAGATGTCTCAGGACATTAGTTTATGTTCTTCCAGAGGTGAGCAAGGTATATCAAATAGGTGATTTCTAATGTTTATCTCCAGTGGATGTTTTTCAGTTTCTTTAAAAAATTGCAAACACTATTTTTGGTTTTGAGTTTTGTTGATTAAAAGTAGCTAGGTATTATAAGAAAATCAAGAAGGTGGCAAGAAGGTGTGTGTGTGTTTGTTTGTTTTTTTTAAGGAAAAAACCTATTTAATAGGTATTGATATAAATTCAATGTACTTTTGGTTAATGAATTCAACTTTAAAACTAGGGGTAGGAGGAAAGTGGGGAAAACCATAATTTTTCATGGTTTTCTCATTTTTAAAATTTTTGTGATTGCTTTGGATTTACACTTTATGTTTTTTTCTTTCTTTGTTTGTTTTTGTTTTGTTTTGTTTTGTTTTGTTTTAGGGAGAAGTAATAGCCCTGGATAAACTACCCAACAAAGTAAAAAAAATAAAGCAGAATGCTTTATTATTAGGGCTGAATTCCATTAGGGCTTTTTGCTTTGATGGAACAAAGGCACTTAAATTTGATATGGTTAAGGACACAGAAGGTGAGTTCAATTTTATCTTATAAAGACTTTTATAAGCCAGCAGATTTTGCTCTCATTTTTCTAGCCCCAAAATATGCATAAGGCCTTGAAACTTTCGCATGGATCTAAGATTTTTTGCTGTAATAGATATCTTCTTTGCTTTTCATCTCATCCCCCAATATCAGATTTTAAATAATATAAGTCGAACCCCCAAGACTTGGTCAGACTCTTTTGTGTTCTTTAAAAAAAAATTTTTTTTCATCACCATTTATTCCCCCTATGCCCTCTTCCACATCCACTCATTCCCCTCCTCCTTGGTCAAACTCTTTATATTTGACATATTTGTCTTAATTTCATAATGCATCTCAGAAAGCTTCCAAACCTTTCAATTTTATGATTATTGAGCTGTTCTGTATTATTTCTTCATTTTCTTGAGGAATGAGGCTATGCAGCTGGGACGGGAGGAAAAACTGGTAGATTTATTAAGTCACTCGGTGTCTATTTCTGTATCTCTATTTCTTGTTTAGATTTGATTTCATGAAATATTTGAGGAACTTGAATATTTTAATAAACCAACTGGCATTAGTTCTTGAATGTTTATTGGTTAAACATGACTTTTAAAAAGCTGAGGATGTTGTCTTAGATTTCCCAACCTCCTTACAGAACATCTAGATTGCAATTATTAGCAAACAAAACTCAAAGAGTAAATTTGAAAATCGAATGGGCTTTATTAAGCTGATTCATGAATCCCACCAACATCCTATCTAGCAACTGTAAGCTAGCTCCCAGAGATTGTACAAAATGGAAGGCTTTTATAGGAAGAGGGGTGGAGCCAGCGAGCTTTAACAGAAGAAAAGAAAGTATTATTTTGGGGCCAGGACACTTGTTTCTTACTGTTTCTGGGAAGAGAAGGGGAGGGTTTTTAGCATATAGATTGCCTCAGTGCCTCAATTACCTTACTGGTGTTTGACCAGAAAATTTCAGACTGGTTGATTAAGATGTTTCTGGGAGAGGTTGAAACTGCAGTTAGATCAGGTATTAAATCTAGGTTTGGTATCAGGGCTTTTAGCACCCAGGAATGTCTTTATTTTTTTTTTTTAATTTTATTTTTGTTACAGACCTTTCTCCTTTTTTACCCCATTGACACCCTCCTCCCCATCCCCCGTGCCCCATCCCCGGCTTTGTTGTCCATGTCCATTGCTTATACATGCATGCATATAAGTTCTGTGGTTTATCTCTTCCCACGCCCCACCACCCCTCTTCTGAGGGTTGTCAGTCTGTACCCTACTTCCATGTTTCTGGGTCTACCCTATTCCTCAGACTGTTCTTTTCATTATAGTCCATATATAAGTGAGATCATGTGGTATTTGTCTTTTTCTGCTTGGCTTGTTTCACTTAGGATAATACTTTCCAGGTCGCTCCATGTCATCTCAAAGGATAAAAGATCTTTCTTTCTTACAGCTGCATAGTACTCCATTGTGTATATGTACCACAGCTTTTTTATCCATCGTCTACTGATGGACACTTGGGCTGTTTCCAGATCTTAGCTATTGTAAATAGTGCTGCTATGAACATGAGGGTACATATATTCTTTCTGATTGGTGTTTCAGGCTTCTTAGGGTATATTCTTAGAAGTGGGATCACTGGGTCAAATGGAAGTTCAATTTTTAATTTTTTGAGGTAACACCATATTGTTTTCCATAGTGGCTGCACAGGTCGGCATTCCCACCAACAGTGCAATAGAGTCCCCTTTTCTCCACACACTCGCCAACACTTGTTTGATGATTTGTTGTTGGCGGTTTTTCTGACAGGTGTGAGGTGATACCTCATTGTTGTCTTAATTTGCATCTCTCTGATGATTAGTGATGTTGAGCGTTTCTTCATATGTCTCTTGGCCATTTGAATGTCTTGTTTGGAGAGATGTCTATTCAGCTCCTCTGCCCATTTTTTAATTGGGTTCTTTGTTTTACTTTTGTTGAGTTGTATGTGTACTCTATATATTTTGGAAATTAATCCCTTATGTGATGTATCATTGGCAATGATGTTCTCCCATACAGTGGGTTGCCTTTCCATTTTGATGGTTGTTTCTTTTGCTGTGCAGAAGCTTTTTAGTTTGATGTAGTCCCATGTGTTCATTTTCTCCTTTGTTTCTGTTGCCTTAGGTGATGTATCAGTGAAAATTCTGCTTCGTATGATGTCCGAAATTTTGTTGCCTACATCTTCATCTAGAATTTTTATGGATTCACGGGTCACATTTAAGTCTTTTATCCATTTTGAGTTTATTCTTGTATGGTGTAAGTTGATGGTCTAGTTTCATTTTTTTGCATGTAGCTGCCCAATTTTCCCAACACCATTTATTAAAGAGGCTGTCTTTACTCCACTGTATGCCCTTGCCACCTTTGTCAAATATTAATTGAGCGTATTGCCTTGGGTCCATTTCTGGGTTCTCTGTTCTGTTCCACTGGTCTATAGCCTGTTCTTATGCCAGTACGAGGCTGTTTTGATTACAGTCGCTTTGTAGTATAACCTGATATCTGGTATTGTGATCCCACCTACTTTGTCCTTTTTCAAAATTGCTGTGGCTATTCTGGGTCTCTTTTGGTTCCATATGAACTTTTAAAATATTTGTTCTAGTTCTGTGAAATATGTCATTGGTGTTTTGATAGGGATTGCATTGAACCTATAGATTGCTTTGGGTAGTATGGACATTTTAATGATGTTAATTCTTCCAATCCATGAACAGGGTATGTGCTTCCACTTTTTTATATCTTCTTCTATTTTTTTTTTTTCAATGTCCTGTAGTTTTCTGCAAATAGGTCCTTTACTTCTTTGGTTAAGTTTACTCCTAGGTATCTTAATTTTTTTGGCGCGATGGTAAATGGGATAGTTTTTTCAGTTTCTCTTTCTGTGAGTTCATCATTGGTGTACAAGAATGCCGTCGATTTCTTTTTTTGTTTGTTTGTTTGTTTGTTTGTTTGTTTTTTTAATCCTCACCCGAGGACATTTTTCCATTTTTTGTTCAGGTAGAGTGGGAGGGAGAGAGAGGAACAGAGAGAGAGAGAGAGAAACATCGATGTGAAAGGAACACATCGAGTGGTTGCCACCCGCACAACCGACCAGGGCCGGGGACAAACTGCAAGCGAGGTACATGCCCGTAGCGGGAACCGAACCCGGGTCTCTCAGGACCGCAGTCCGACGCTCTGACCGCTGAGCCAAACCGGCCAGGACAAGAATGCCGTCGATTTCTTGACGTTAATTTTGTATCCTGCTACTTTGCCAAATTCATTTATTAAGTCTAGTAGATTTTTAATGGGAGTCTTTAGGGTTTTCTATGTATAATATCATGTCATCTGCAAATAATGACAGTTTCACTTCCTCCTTTCCAATTTGGATCCCTTTTATTTTTTCTTCATGTCTGATTGCTGTGGCTAAGACCTCCAGTACAATGTTAAATAAGAGTGGCAAAAGTGGACATCCCTGTCTTGTTCCTGTTCTTAAGGGAAATGTTTTTAGTTTCTGTCCATTGAGTATGATGTTGGCTGTAAGTCTTTCACATATGGCCTTTATTATGTCGAGATATGATCCCTCTATTCCCACATTGCTGAGCATTTTTATCAGAAATGGATGCTGGATTTTGTCGAATGCTTTTTCAGCATCTATTGATATGATCATGTGGTTTTTATTCTTCATCTTATTTATGTGGTGTATCACATTTATTGATTTGTGAATATTGTTCCAGCCTTGCATCCCTGGAATGAATCCCACTTGGTCATGGTGAATAATTTTTTTGATGTGTTGCTGGATCTGATTTGTGAGTATTTTGTTCAGGATTTTGGTCTCTATGTTCATCAGGGATATTGGCCTGTAGTTTTCTTTCTTTGTAGTGTCTTTTTCTGGTTTTGGAATTAGAATTATGCTGGCCTCATAAAACGAGTTTAGGAAGTCTTCCTTCTTCTTGAATTTTTTGAAATAGTTTGAGGAGAATGGGTGTTAGTTCTTCTTTGAATGTTCGGTAAAACTCCCCCGATAAGCCATCTGGGACTGGGCTTTTGTTTGCTGGGAGAGTCTTGATTACCTCTTCAATTTCCTTTGTTGTTATTGGTCTGTTCAAGTTTTCTATCTCTTCCTGGTCCAGTTTTGGGAGACTGTATGTTTCTAGAAATTTGTCCATTTTGCTTAGATTGTCGAAATCGTTGCCATATAATTGTTCATAGTAGCTGTTAACGATCTTTTGTATTTCTGTGGTGTCATTTGTTAGTTCTCCTCTTTCATTTCTGATTTTGTGCATTTCGGTTCTCTTTGTTTCATGGTGAGTCTAGTAAAGGGTCCATCAATCTTGTTTATATTTTTAAAAAAACAGCTGTTTGTTTTATTAATCCTTTGACTTGTTTTTGTTGTTGTTGTTGTTGTTGTTGTTTTTTTGGTCTCTATGTCATTCATTTCTGCTCTGATCTTTACTATTTCCTTCCTTCTACTTGCTCTGGGGTTTTCTTTTTGTTTGCTTTCTAATTCTTTAAGTTGTGAGGTTAGACAGTCAATTAGAAATTTTTCTTCTTTCTTGAGGTAAGCCTGTAGTGCTATGAACTTCCCTCTCAGAACTGCTTTTGCTGTATCCCATAGATTTTGTGTTGTTGTATGTTCATTTTCATTGGTTTCCAGGAATTTTGTTTTTGTTTTTGTTTTGTTTTTTTTCCTCACCCGAGGACATTTTTTCATTTTTTGTTCAGATAGGGTGGGAGGGAGAGAGAGGAAGAGAGAGAGAGACAAACATTGACATGAAAGGGACACATCGAGTGGTTGCCACCCACACAACCAACCAGGGCCAGGGATAAACTGCAACCAAGATACGTGCCCTTAGTGGGAATCAAACCCGGATCTCTCTGTTCCGCAGACCGACGCTCCAACCACTGAGCCAAACCGGCCAGGGCGGTTTCCAGGAAGTTTTTAATTTCTTCTTTGATCGCCTCGGTAACCCATTCATTGTTTAATAACATGCTATTTAGCCTCCATGTATTCAAATG